ATTATTACTTCAAGGCAGATTATCATTGCATTTCGTTTTAAACATGGGCTGTCAGCTTACTTCTGATATCACTCAGTTATATCTAGTAACACAATTGAAACAAATGGAATTAGAAATTTGATGTTCTCATATGTAACATGTTTGAGTTTTAAGATTAGGATGATGGAAACAATGCACTGTTTATCTGAAGATCCCTGAGTTGACACTGCCATTAGACACTGCTGAACGTTTTATTATACAGCTGCAGCTGGTGTCCTTGTGTTTCATTCCCACATGCATGCTGGCATGCTGATAGGGGGCTCCTCCACATATTTGCTTAGAGAGGGCAACTGAATGCCATTTAAAAAATACATGCTTCTTATTAAGAAACACTGGGTATATATACACTGATAAACAAAAACTTAGCTTAAAAACTTAACTCCGTGTTCCTTTTGAGTTTCATATGGATGGTTATTCCAAATGTGTTATAATATGCATTGTAGATGTGGTGTGTTGGGTAGATATGGTTTTTTGGGTAGATAATATCTCTAATACAGTGCTTGTTTGTCTCTTTTATGTGGGCAATATAACACATCAGGATGATGGGGAGCTGCAGAGTTTCAGAAACATTAAGTAATGCTTAAAGGCACAAGGGGAAAAAAGAAAAGAAAAATATAGGATATACAATAGGGCAAGCTGTATTCATACACACATTCTTTCTCCGAGTCAAAACATGGCGTTTACCTACTGACTTAAGTAGAAAGCCTATTCTGCTTTGTTCCATGGGGAGATCCTGGACTGCTTGTGCCTCAGGTAAACAAGCTGCCCTGTGGCCGAGAGACTATGTATGCTCCCTGTCCTGCGGGATAGCAAAACTGCTCCTTAAGCAGTGGCTTCATCTCTTGACCTATGCCACATGATATCATTCTGGGCCTTACACAGCCTTCTTATTTCCACTGGACAGAAGGGAAAGGCACTATGTTCTCCATGTTAAGATAAGCCATAAAGGAACAAAGTTTTTTGCCCACTATCCCCTTGCTACCCAGGTGGAACATATCATCTGTACTTTTGATATATGGTAGCAAATTCCTTGGTAATCCCCCTAATGGCTCCTCTGTATAAACTGCCAGGGCCACTCAGTATACTGAAGGGCACTCCAGTGGTTCAAAAAGACAAACACAAAGAAATTCTACTCTTTGAAGCTGAAGTTGGTTTATTAGTGGTCTTTCTGCATATTTTCAGCAGTTGGCAATTATAATTTATAAAAAGATCAGCTAATAATATGAGTTTCAGATCAGATTTAAGTCACAATAAATCATATGCCATTAATAACATCTGCTAGCGGGCTCACCTTGAAATTCATCTATATTTTAAAGAATCTGATGTTTCTAACATTATCTTAAGGAAATTAATTACAAAAATATATAGTTCAGTCCCTACACCTCATGTTACTAAGATATTGGAAGAAGTTGAAAAAGGGAATTATTTTCCACGATATAGGAGAGTTCCCATTTAGGCAGATTATATAATGTGTCAAAAATTAATTAATGGAAGTCCAAGTACACTGTTAATAGAAAATATATACTTTTATTGGCTAGACTGTTTATAATATGAGTTCTTCTAATAATGCTGTATTTTTAGAAAGGCAGGTTTTTATTTATGATATATTAGACAAGAGACAATATACATCTTTATTCAGGTGGTGTGTTGAAGCATTATAATAAAAAATGATCGTTTCATGAATATTTTTCTCATTTTTCACATAAGTGAAAAAGACAGATTCTGCCAGTTGCTAAATGCAACTTTCCATATAGTTATGTATTTTCAATTGCAGTTTGTCCTGCTAACAACAATATGTATGTGGCAATGATAAACCTGTTACAATATATTAAGTATATAAAAATAAGCCCCATTTTAAAATTTTGCTGAGTCAAAAGTGGTAACTTTTATAATTTACTAAAGGGCAAAATTTTCAAGAACATCTTGAAACTGATAATAGATGCAGGTGATTAAAAGATTTGGGAACACAAGTCCCATTGCTGTAAAAAAGACTAATGTTCTTAAGATATTTAGGGTCTTTTAAAAATCTGACTCCAAACTCCTAAATTCTTCTCCTAGCCACGAAAAAATAAATCCTTCAGTAGCCAAATTAGTCTGGTGTCTGCTTTTTTCCAGAAATGTTGAGCTCTTGTGATCCCAGTTAAAGTCACTAACATCTGAAACATTTTTCTGAACCAGGCCTTTTGTTTTGTTGTAGTTTCACTCTGAAGAGTGGGGCTTAGAATATAATTTTAGTAATACAAATACTTTAAATAAGTATTATAGACCAGGAAGTTTGAGCTGGATTCCATCCTGGCAGAAGTACCAAAAGAACTATTAATTTTACTAAGAATGGAAGATCAAATCCTACTTCATTTAATACATCTGCAGAATTCCATTGAATGAAAAGGAGGCAAAAATGTTGCCGACCTATGACTTAGGACTGTTTTTATTCTGCATAGTCCACTTGAACTGATGTGGATGATTATGCAACAATTTGATCTCAGGTTGAATTGTCAGAGCTGGTCACTAAGGAGAAAAAAAACTTATACTTTTAAACTAAGAATATGAAATCCCTACAACAAGGCCATGATTCGAATGCGGCAGTTTTATATACCTGGATGCCAGTTTTATATATAACTATCATTATAACAACATATGCCTACCTCACTGGGTTTGAGAGAATTTTTTGTTAGCTTGGGTAAAGTGCTTTGGAAGTCACTGACCTTAAGTATTATGCATATGTAATGCTGTTCAACATGTGACAATATTCCTAGGTTTTAATACAAGGTTTTAACATTACCAAATTTCTCAACAGTACAAACAATGAACGAAGTTGTGTATTTTCAAAGCTTCCGATGGTTGGGAACATCCAGGTCCCAGAAGAATCCAAGCTTAAATATATACAAATGTGCTTGTAAATAAGCAATGCACACAAAATATTGTAATGTTGGGTGATTCTTCAGCTAACCTAGGTCTGAATTCACTAGTTTGTCCCCTTTCTTTTCAGATTAACTGTTTCGTGGCATTTTATTGGTTAAGATAAATACTTTTGCCATTCTAGGGATGCTTTAAGAGGTAAATGTGTGAAAATAACATGAAATAGGTTTATGGCCGTGAGTTCCGAGTTCAGTTAGGTTGTTTTAATGTCAGTCCTATTTTCAAAAAACAACTCAGACATTAAATCTTACTGAAAGTCAATGGGATTCAGTTTTCCTATTGCTTGAATTATGTGGGAAAATGTTACCATAGGCTATAAAGGCAATTGTGAAAATCTTTCCTTTGTCTTTCTTTTATCATCCATACAAGGGGTGAAGATAATCATCTCTCCAATACATTTTTAAAATTCATAGTGGGTTTATAAAGATGAGTCTGTGGGGTGAAGGTCATATAAATAGGATTAAAAAAAAAGTGAGAGGAAATCAAGCATCCCCACCTCTGTCAAGCACCCAAAAGCATCCCCGCCTTTGTCTAGGTCTTTGTTTAGAAAGTAGTCCTGATGACCAGTAATTCACCAATCAGAAACTAGTGTTCTACATTCCAGCATTTCATCAGCTCTT